GGTCAGCGCGTCTGTGTGCGCTAACTGAGGTATTGGATGACCTTGAGGCAGCTGGCGTTGAACTATGACGCTGGACAAAGCAATGGAGGGCGTCAGCCGGCAGCGACCACCACAAGGCCATCCGAACGGCAATAACAGCAATTCCTACCATGTACAACCACGGAATTCAATACCTGGCCACAATCAAGATGATCGACGCAACCTTATGTGGAACAACCATGAACCTGGCAGATGGAATTTTCGCCATCCAAGTGGACCTTCATGTGTTTTGGCCCTGCCAAGCTTTCTGGTCCCCTAGTCTTTAAAAATACTCCGCTTTTACAACGATCCTTCCATAAATTTCTGCAAAGGCTGCGCAGATATGTAGTTTAATAGCACACAATATCTCCCTTCTGGAAATAAAGTTAAAACTGTACCGCATGAATGTTCTACCCATCCTAGAATATTGCTGTCCCCTTTTTGGTCTAAGGAATGCCTCTGGCCGCGGTAAGGTTGAACATATTAAAAGAGATTTTACTCGAAAGTATTTGCTCTTCCTCGATCCACTGTGTCTTATACGGAGAAATTTCAGTTAGTGAAAAGGACATTTCTCTGGGTTAGGAGACTGGAAGCGGGCCTCTGCTTCCTATTTCGCGTTAACTCTAACTTTAATCTCCCACGGATCAACGCTCTTACTCCGGCAGATAGACTTTGTCTCACTCATAATTCTTTCATGATATTTTCACCTCCTTTTAGCTTCACATCTAACCGTTCTCGTTTTTTGCCCCAAAAAATGCCTTCCTCTGGAATAATATTCCCCTCGAAATTAGACTGTCGTCTAACTTACAGGTTTTTAAAGTCAAATTACGTAAACATTTAACCTCGGAATATATAAAGTCCTTGCTATTCGTCTCCTTCCCAAACACAACCTTTGGACTTTAAAAAGGGTCCGTCTGGTATTTGAGGCATTTCCAGTTATTTTAAATTTTTCTATATATGTATATTTTATCCTCTATAGAGTGATCTTCGCAGAGTTGTTTTGTCTCCTGCTCTGTCCGATCATTATTTCCGCTCTCCGTTCTCCATTTTACAACCCTGACAATGGGCTTCACGGTCTCTGGTGATGTTCGTGGCGGTTCTGCTGTTTTCGCCAGGTTACTGCTGAAATCTGCAGTCCAGAAGATTGCATTTCTGGCAGTTCGGCGATGATCTCGTGACCTCTACCATTCCCTTATCCTATTGACTCTGTTGTCCGCGATGATTTCCTACTGTCTCACCTCCCTGATGGTTGATCTTGGAGCCAGTAGGCCAGTGTTAGGGTGGTGAACGGTAGTTTCTGCTGCTATATGATTTCTCCAACGACAAGAAGCGTTTCAAACCCTCATAGTTCTCACCAAGAGTATTGTCTCATCGTATCGCAACAATCCTATCAACTAACCTCGAAATTTTTATAGAAGTTTTTACTACTCCGTTTTCTTTTTTTACAGTGGGGGTCTGCTGAACTCTGCCCCCGCTCTCATGGTAGGAGTTTTTTTCGCTGCTTCCTCCTTAGTTCACCACACCATTTTAAAATGGCAATTTGTTAGCAGATATGAAACTATCTGACTACTATACTAAACACTCCCGCTGCCTGTGTGGTTTCTCATAAAGCGTAGCATTTATCCACTTTGAATTTATTTTTGCCACAGCACTAAGCTTGCAAGGACGAGGCCCTCCGGGCC